TTTGTTTGTTTGTTTGTTTGTTTGATCTCCGCCCATCTCCCCTGATGGGGGACTCTGGGCGGCTCACACAACCCATTAAAACAATAAATATATATACAATCACATAAAACATAAAAACTGTACAAAACATTACTAAAAGAAAAGGGGGGGAAAAAAAACCAAGAGGCTGATGGTTTCCAGAGCTGCAGACGACAGGCCTCTAAGGGGCTAGCCATCCTCACGCTTGATATCTTCCCTCCCCACCCCAGGCCAAGTGGCAGAGCCAGGTCTTCAAATCCCTCTGGAAAGCCAGGAGTGAGGGGGCCAATCTCACCTCCAGGGGCAAGATATTCCAAAGGGCGGGGGCTACAGCAGAGAAGGCCCACCTTCTGGACCCCACTAATTGGAGCTTTTTTATTGAGGGGTTCCAAAGCATGCCCTCTCTGTGTGATCGGGTGGGACAGGTTGAAGTCATGGGGAAGAAGCGGTCCCTTAGGTGACCTGGTCCCATTCCATGTAGGGCTTTAAAGGTAATAACCAACACCTTGAATTGGACCCAGAAGCAAAGTGGTACCCAGTGCAGCTCGTGGAGCAACGGTGTTACATGGGCCCTTCTTGGGGCTCCAAAAATAGCCCACGCAGCTGCATTCTGGACCAGCTGTAGCTTCCAGATACTCTTCAATGGTAGCCCCACATAGAGTGCATTGCAGTACTCTATCTGGGAGATAACAAGGGCATGAGTGACCGAAGGGCATCCCGATCCAGGAAAGGGCGTATCTGATGCACAACCTGAAGTTGTGCAAAGGCCCTCCTGGTCACGGCTGCCACCTGCTCTTTGAGCAGGAGCCGTGAGTCCAGGAGGACCCCCAGATTACGCACTGGGTCTGTTTGGGGCAGTGCTACCCCATCCAGCACCAAAGAATATGAATCAACGTATCAGAGAACTACAGTGTCTTGCCTTTGGATTCCATAGTCATTTGTCTCAAATTTGAATGAAAAGAGTAAGTGAAGAGGAAAATGAGGCTGAAACAAGCACAGAACATACCTTTCTGAAATAAATTTGCCTGCAAGATCCATGCTAGGAAATTAAAGGGAAAAACAATAGAACATATGTTTTTAAGGAAACAAAACTGCCAGGCTTGCAAGAGATGAATGAATTGAATTAAGACATTAAATTCCAGGGATGCTGGCCCTGCTGAAAGGCAAGTCATTGATGGGTAACAAGGCTGAGTATTCTGTTATTGTCAAGTAAGAGATTGTTGGAATGTTGAAGTTTCTATATGTGATCTTCAGCATTCTATACTAGCCTTTTCTCAGTCTGATACTCTCCAAAATTCTGCAAGAACAACTCCCAATATATCCCTAGTCAGGATAGTCAGCAAGGTATTGACAGCTGCAGTCACTCTAGTCCAAACACATTTGGAGGACATGCTAGTTAAAATAACACACTCTAATGCATACAGGCACTGAATATACACAAACTATATTTTTTGGAGGAAGGGAATTTCTACAGATTGATCCTATTAGAGTGTGGGGTATATGGATAATTTATTCTTGTGAGTCATCCTAAATCTGAACAACTCAATTCTAGTGCACATAAGATACCGAATGAAAACTAACCGTGTGTGGTCATCAAAATTCCAGCTTTCCTTTGGTAGGTCAACAATCAATTGGAACCCAGTGTTTAAAATAGTTTTGCACCATCCTGTGGTAAAAGGACAGTTTCATTCTTAAAAGCACATAGTAGTTCACACAATGACAGTAACAACAAAATAGTACAAGAAAGTATTCTAACAGTGTAATTGTGTATGTATCTACTTAGAAGTAAGTCCTAGTGGTAAGTCCTAGAAGTAAGAAGACTTAGAAGTAGGTGGTATATTTGCTTAACAAAGATGGTAACAGATTGCACTTAAAAAGGCTGTCTAGTTTCAGGTATGGTGAACATCATCAGCTTCCGGTGGTAAAGCACTGTGTTGGTTAATTCAGGCGCTAGCTATTTCTGAAGCTATGGTTTGTCATCCTCTTCAAAGAATATTCTTTTGACAGCAGACCATGCATACTTTGTTTTTTGGAACCATGCTAAAACAACCAGCATTGCAACATTCTCACTTATGGAAGCCATGAAGCACAAGCAGTATTTGCTTGGATTCAGTTATTTCAACCCAGCACTCCTAAGTCATGCATGGAGTGTTCTATTAACCTTGCTATTGGGGGGGGGGGGCGGTGATAGCCATTCCTTATTTTGGCTACATACGATTTGTACACTCCATAGCCTTCGCCAGATCTACCTTAGCTCCCAGAATGGAGGTCAAAGTATTATTCTGTGTGGGAAACATCTCTGGCATCATCTTGAGCGACCTGAATGGACATTTCTAACCTGGCAGGTTAGAAGAGGAGAGGCAAACACCACTGTTAGCTCCACATCTAAAACTGTTCATTGAATCTCTTTACTTGACTGTGCCCTGCCTATGTCTGTGAAACCCAATCAGGAAAGTTGTTGCTATCTGAGATTAAGATTTGGTTTTGTGTCTTCCCTGCTTCATCAGGGAAGAAAACCTTTTTTCTTAATAAGGATTATCTACATTTCTCCCATTACTCACTATAGCTTATTGCAGCATTCCCCAACCTGGTTTCCTCCAGATGTGTTGAAATAGTAACTCCCAGAATTTCCAGCTGGTATTGTTAACATAACTGGAGAATGTTGATCCAGTTAGATAAAGTTGACTTATTATTACTCTACTGTTTCCGTATTGTCTTTTCTACCGTAGTAGAGATTTGAAAATTGTTTCTATTGGAGTAGGAAAAGAAGACTAAGTTACTCCCAAGCACCAACAGGTGGAGTCAGCTTTGCCACTAATTTGAGAATTAAAAAGCTTTGGGAACCCAGCTCTATAGAAGACAGGACCATGACATTACAATACAAATACAAATACAAAATACTTTAATGACCAGGTATAGAATATATACAAGGAATTTGTCTTCGGTGACGAACAGCAAGATCAACAGTGCGTTTGGATAGCGGTATAGAATATATACAAGGAATTTGTCTTCGGTGACGAACAGCAAGATCAACAGTGCGTTTGGATAGCAACAGAAAAATAACACTACATAGTAAAATAACTTTTTCAAAGGGAGAAGCCATTGTCGTATGTAGTTAAACACTACATATCGAGTCATGTAGTGTTTAACT